GAGTTCCTGTAAGTTCTGTAAATCATTTATCCTGAAGGAACAATCCCTTTGTTAGACTTTGGCCTTAAAGGGGACCTATCATGCAAAATGCACTTTTTGATGTCTTTTATACATAAAGATGTGTCCCCGGTGTGTCAGGGAACTCACGCAGTGTCAGAAAATAAAACCCTCTCTCTTTTCCTCCGTACCCAAATCTCTAAAAACGGGGGAACAACGGAGCTGATCCAGATTTGCGTCCGATATGACGTAATATCTGAAATGTGGACCCACGGCCCTATCAGAAACGTTGCTATCAGAAACAATGCCCGACTGTTTTGGACGTAATATGGTCGGTGTTTACATTAGCATTGCTAACACTCAGAGCTAACCTGTACTGGAGAGCATGTGTGTGAAGAAGCAGGAAATAAAAAGGAACTCACCTTGTGGTATAACCGGCAAGAGAGAAAGCCTTTGAGCTCCATACTGTTTCAGAAATAATCCTTGATAATCCATGATATGGCGTTTCATCACGGCAGTATTTAGTTTAGACAGTAGCTGCCGGGTCCCGCATGAGCTCAGCCCCCTCCCTTTTTTAAAGCTTTATACCCCAAATCAGCACTTTTGAAACAGGAAGTGAAATAGAGGGATATGAGGCATGGCTAGAATGGCTGATCTGTTTGGTATTTTGAGCAAAACACTTCATAGACATGTTTTTATATATTTATATATATCTGAGACCTATGCTATTGCCTAAAAATAGCATGATAGGTGACCTTTAAATAACATATCTATAGCAGGCGTCATGGCACGTTAAGAAAACATATAATCATGCATTCTCTTTTTAAATAGTTTCTAAATCCCAACGTTTTAAAAAATATCTCCAACTCGTTGCAGACCATGAAGGGTAGTGGGTGCAGACAACAGAAAGTGATTTACTGGAAATTAGGAAAGTCTTACCGGCTCCGGGAATAATAGCAAGCTTGGTCTCAACCAGACCCAATTTCGCAGTATTAGCTAGAGGGAACAAAGGGAAGAATTAGCACTCGCACATAATATGTAACACGTATGAGAGTTTTTCAGTCTGTGGCTATAAGTATGGTTTTATTGTCTCGTGTTTTTACATTTGGTTTTTGTCCTATCTGTTTTGTCTAAATGTATTCATGCTGCTTTTTATATATGTTATGTTGTTTTTAAATGTGCTATATAGAGTGGAGAAGTTCCTCCCTTTCCGGGGGAGCTCCATGGGACCTTATTTCGGAAAAATTATGTATTGAAGTCAATGGAGAGAGAAAGATTATCTTTCGATCGCGTTTGAATTGTGCCACAAATTAAACATATGATGTTTGTCAATTTAAAAGATCATTTTAACTTAAATGATGTATTATAGAATGATCACACCGGTGTGACAGTACCCTTCAAAGGGTTCACGAAATATGACTACTACTCTTACTGTTTAACATTTTGGGTTACTTAATGTTAAGGCTAATAAAAACGTGTAATAATAAAAACACTGTAATGCTAACTAACGTGCTAGCTACTAGCTAGGTAGCTAACTTGATCCAGCCACTCCTGGTCCTTTCATCAGACGGGAAGCGAAAGAACGAGCAAGACCCATTGCTGGTATGATAACAACCTGGTAGCACACAGGCATCTTGTTAAAGTTATCTTATCTTAGCTATCTCTTATATTTAGCGGAGGAAAACAATTGTGACATCACTTACGCAACTCTGGGATTTGTAGTCTTTCTAGTTGCGTATTTTTCATAGTCTTATATTTCAACAGTTTTAAGACAAACTGTGACTTTTTTGACATGGAAATTATTTTTTAAGATTGACAAACATCATATGTGTAATTCGTGGCACAATTTAAACGGGATCGAAAGATAAGTTTTCTCTCTCCATTGACTTCAATGCATAATCTTTCCGAAATAAGGTCCCATGGACCGGAAGTAGATGGGCGTGACTTCGCTACTCTATATACATAAAGTTGGATTGGATACTCTGTTGCTATATACAATGAAAAAAAACTATTAGATGAATTAATATTTTTCAGTAACAGTTAAATAACATGCATGCTCACAGGAGCTGATTCTACTGTCTGAGAACAAGTCACCCATACTCTTGTTTTGATTGATCACAATCTACAGTGTTTTGCACACAGACCAGAGGCACTCATCTGAACAGAGAGAAATAAGTTCCATTGAGTCTTACAGGTTATTCTGATGTCACAGGCTAGGGCCATTTCCAAGCCTCCTCCTAAAGCGGCTCCATCGATCGCAGCGATCGTTGGGACTGGCAGGTTACCTGTAAGAGAAAATACAGTACATCACCCATCAAGAGACATAAAACACACACATTTAACCAACTAAAGGGCTATGGCAAGGTTTTGATTTAGAAAGGAATGTCAGGAAGAAACAATGAAATTAGCTAGTGACAATTTGTAAGACTAACTCCTGTTTCATTTCGGCTTAGTTTCATTTACATAAATATTTTATCCAAATGTTCCCCCGAAGTGCCCAAACTTTAAAATCCAAACTGTGATGTGTTTCCAGCTTTTTGGAAGTTGAGAAGATGGAAAGTGCTTAAAACATGATCACTAAAGTGCATTATAGTTCCTTATTAATAATCAAGGTACTCACTATGAAATAAAGTTTAATTAGTCTGCTCTGAACTGTGACGCCTTGTGTGAAAAATGAAGGAAAGCTTGTTCATTTCCATTTCTAACCAATCAGAGCAGACTGGGCTCTGGTTTCAGACAGAGGGTGAAAAGAGGTGCTGGATAACAGGCAGTATGAGAGAAATAAAGAGCTTTTTGAACATTAACGCATGGAGAAATGTCACAGTAGAGACACAAAATACAAATATGAAACATGAAAATTAGCTAAATAAAAACTTTAAATTGAAACATGATACGAAAATTCTGTAAGATCTGCAACTCAAAAAACGCCATTATTACTGAATTATAAAGTGTGGTATGAACATGCATCCCAGGTCACTGAACACATCCTCCTCTCTGGTCCGTACCCAGCTCTGTGATGAGCGCTCTGGCTTTGGACACAAACGGTCCCACTTCACTCTGCTGCATCTTGGCCCTCTCCTTCAGATCTGCACCTGCACACAGAGATCAGAGAGAGGCATGAAGGGCGGACCATCACTATGTGCAAAAACAGGAAGACACAATTCCCTGTACTTGGTCCAAGGGTCAAAATAATATCCCCTAGATCAGGGGTTCCCAACCTTTTTTCCCAAGAGCCCCCCCCCAAATGACTCCTGTTGGAAGTTGGGCCCCCCCCCCCCACACACACACACACAAGGGGGGGGACGGGGA